TGTTTATTTTCCTTTTATCATGCTGTTTGTCGTTTATTCGTGTTTGCTATTATCCATGGTTTTCAGTATCCACTGGGGCTTGAAGCCAATCCACAGCAAATATGGAGGTCCTACTGTACCAGTAAAGACCAGCTTGAGAGAGAAAAAAGTTCTTTACATCCTTCTCTTAATTCCACCAGGTTAAATGCTCTTCTTTTAAGGCACAGTACAAAAAAAGAGCCAAGAGAGTCCCAAGAATACTGGATGTATGTTGTGCAAAATAGAACTAGAGGCTGGATAAATTCATGACAAGGAAGATGGTCATTCACTTAAGTGGTCTGTATGTGAATGGTGGTTCATTGAAATGGTTCATGTGCTGTTTTTCTTTGACACAAATTGTAGTGATGAAAACGTGTCTTCATGCTTCCATTAAACTGACTAAACACAGGATTCCTTCAGGTTATTCTCAGATTTGTTTCTTGACTTACAAGAAAAACATTTTCCTCTTTTCCATCATTGGATATGATGCTTAAGCAAGCCCAACAAAATAAATAATATGCATAGTTTAGATACGATGGGGGAGGCAAATATATTGTGATGAATAAGAGGCTTTAGAATGAGATGGACATGCTGAATTTTTGTTTTAGGAAAGTGTGAGAATCATCAGCCACTCTGACCATTTGTGCAATTGTAAACAAAACAGTGGGAGTTGTAAAATAAGTGGGATCTTGAAAGCTTTGAAAAGGAAATACGCTACTAGGAATGTGATTTTCTTCAAAGTCCCCCACCCTACCTTGCAACTTGTTTTCCGCAGAAACACCTGCCTGAAAAGTGAGTGAGCTTCTAGTCACTTCTGGCAGATGTGAGAGTCTGCCCTGCAAGCCTGTCTAGGAGACAGGGGTAAATGGCCCTTCTGAGTCTCCACAGTTGCCCAGCCCTTATTTAAAGGCTCTTTATGCAAATTGTTTGAAATGAACAGTGGGAACAGTACATTGAATTTACATGTTAATCACTGCTAGAATGTTGGAGCAAGTGGGGAAATAACAGTAAGGTGCTCCTTGACCAAGTATCTAAAATTAGTTGACTTCTTGAGAATTTTGTAGGATAAAGATCTGTACTCAGGAAGAATACATGTGGTAACTGTTTATGGAAAAATGAAATATAATCCATAATGGGAATCTCAGGTAGATCACCAAAAATGACAAAAAATGCGATAGAAAAAGTGCTTATTTTTCTGACATACTTTAAATCTATTTTAATTATTAAGGCCATTCATCAGGGAACCTACAAGAAATAAAATGAATATTTATTATAAATGTGTTATAATGATATCCTACTACACATATACTTACTGTGTATTTGTGTGTATTAATATGCATACTCTCTGTATATGTATATGCATGTGTTTGTGTAAGGGTAATTAGTTTGGATTGGAATGAATTGATGACTTTGTTCTTTTTAGTTGATAGTTGAGATTACAATATACAGTAAAAATCAAATGTTAGGTTTTAAACATTTTAGTTTGCATTGAAATTGTTTCATGGCTAATGTAATTGTTAAGGGCTCTGGTTTTGTATTAGATTAAAGCAGTTATCATTTTAATATATGTATTTTAAGTGTTGTGGTAAATTAATAATCAGCCTGATTTTAAAGTGCAGTTCTGTTTATACAGTACAGTATTTGCTGAGCTTCTGGTACATTTTTTAAAGAGTCAAAGCTACATGATACAGGCTAGTGATATGGTTATTCAGTGTATCACCATCGCCTCCTAAGGAGAAGCAGTGCCAGTATGGGATATAATTATATTGCAGAGCCATCTGCTATGTCTCAGCATTTCACATGCTTCCAAAGTGGTCTAGGATGCAATTTTGTAGTTTTCGTTATGCAATAATTGGCTTTAAGAAAGTAAGCACTTATTTAGCCTGAGATTGGATATCAGCTGCTTCTTCACTTCTTTAGCCAAGTAAGAATAGAGGTGCATGTGCACCAGCAATTCTAGAAAATGGGCATTTTTTGAAATTGAAATTGAATTTTCTTAGCCTGTGAGCATATAATAAAAGGTGATATATGTCCCATTCGTAGGATGTAGTGATAGGTAAACACAGGGTGCCTTTTTCATGCACTTCCAAGTACCTGCAGAAGAGAATTGTTCAAACTGCTTCAGTTTAACAAGATAGTCTTCACATCTGTCCATCCTCAGTGATAAAGTTATAACAATGATTGAGACGATTCACTGTGAATGTGAGGGTGTGGACTGTCTGTTTAGTTCTTATAGTTGTATGTTTGATGGATTGAAGTACAGTGGTGCCTCACAAGACGATTGCCTTGGGGGACAAAAAACCCGCAAGACGATTGGTTTAGTGATCCCTATGATGCCTCACAAGACGTTTTTTTCTATGAGCATGCTTCGCAAGACCTTTTTCCCCCAAGACAGATGCCTCGCAAGACTAATACATTTCATTTGTCTTGCGAGGTTCCCATAGGGAACCTCGCAAGACATTTTTTTCACAAGACAGCGATTTTTGTGGAACGAAGTAAAATCGTCTTGCGAGGCACCACTGTAATGGGGAAATAGAAACTCAATTTTGTCTGATTTTAATTTTAAAAGTTCTCTCTTAAAATGGCAAATAAGGAAACAATGAACTTGTCTCCAAACTGAAAAATATTAAAAGCTCAAAATTGGTGTAGAAAAGCCATCTTTATCTCAATTTATGGACATTGATCAATTTAGAGATAACTAAGATTTAAGTGCTTTTTCTTTAAAAGATATTTGGTATTTTTATTTTTAACCCAGTATCAAATTTAGAAATTCATTTTATTTTATTTGCCTATCCTGTATTGTGTAACAGTGAATGTTGTACAATTTGTGTGGCAAACTGTATAATACATCTGCATACTTAATAGCTAGCTCTTCAGCTGTCTTCAAGTCAGCTTTGAACAGAGTGCAGTGCAGTAGTTTCCTCTGATAGCAAACTTGATTCATCCATACTGACCAGTTGTTTAATGAAATTTGTCCACCTGTGTACAAGTAGAGGTTTGTGCATTCAGAATTTATCTCCAAAGAGTTACCAGCTTGAGATAAAGCTTTCTTCTGGTCTGCAGCAGGCAGGAAAAGCTTGTACTTCCTTGTCCCAGCTGTCTCTGTTAGGTTAATGGTTTGCCTCCCAAATAATAAAGTTTTTTTTTTAATCCTGTGTATTAACTACAAAGACAAGACCCAATCTAATCCACTCTTAGAAACAGGCCACTAATAAAATGTAGCATGGGAGCTAATGATTACCTTTTTCAACGGAGGTCTAATCAGTGCTTCTCTCGAAACATATGGTACAACATATTGTCTTCTGTACAGTAGACAGTCTGCTCTAGTAGAAGATATTAAAGATGCTGAAAAAGGTAAGGGTCAGTGATATGTTTTGTTCAGGAATCTCATCTAAGTGATGCAAAAAAAAAGCAATAGGCAACAAAGTGAAAGGTACCTGAGCACAACTAGAGATTTTGGTCTACTTGTTCCATAAGGCGGGCCATAACTAACGCAGAATGCTTATCATAGTATATATCCTTAATTATTATAAAATGAATTAGTATGATCTTTGTAATACACATTAATACGAAGTTTTAAATACAGTGGTGCCTCGCATAGCGAGGTTAATCCGTTCTGGATTAACCTTCGCTATGCTGAAGCATCGTTAAACGGTACAGAAAAGCCCATTAGAACGCATTAAACATGGTTTAATGCGTTCCAAATGGGCCAAATACTCACCGTTCAACGAAGCTTCGTAATGGCCGGCAGCCATTTTCGCGCCCTCGCCTCGCTTAACGAGGGCGCGAAAACGCTGCGCGCGGCCATTTTGGGCCATTTCCGGCCATTTCCGCGCTTCCGGCGGCCATTTTGGCCGCCGAATAGCTGATTGTCGGGCTTCGTTTTGCGAAGATCGGTAAGCGAAACGCTTACCGGTCTTCGCAAAGCGAATTGAGCCCTATTCAAAAGATGTTAAGCGATCGCATTAGCGATCTGAAAAAACGGATCGCTATGCGATTTCGTCGTTATGCGGTGCGCTCGTTAAGCGAGGCACCACTGTACATATTTACACACCTTTCCCTTTCTGTTTTGTACTGTCTACGTTGGATGTAGCTAAACTGCTTGTTATGCAGACACCTCTGAAACAAACTGAAATTTTACTACATATATTGTGAAATAACTGTGGTTTGTTCTAGATCATGAAGAATCTTTGAATTTTTATCTGTTTGTGCTTAGAGGGGAAGCAAATGGATCTTTAGCTTGCTATAAATGTGACCATCATTGACTATGGTGCTGAGGCTGTGGGATCTTATTTTATAGGTGTAGGAAATTCTGTCCACATTTTTAAAGCATGCAGAGTATTGTTCCTCACATCAGATTCTATTAGTTCATTGTATATTACTTACCCTAGATCAATACTTTATAAAGCCTGGAATGCAGGTGGTTCCTATGCATCGCAAGTTAGTGTTGGGTGGGTTTTTTTCTCCATCATATTTCTTTACAGTACTGTTTAATAGGTGAAGAAGGAGGGCTGCCTGACCTTAATTATGCAACATCATGGGCAAGTGTAGCAGCATTTTGCCAGCCACCTGCTATAATTTCAAATCAGGGACAAGGCATCACTGTCCAGGATGACTGGCAATAAATGGACAATTTCCTCTGAGTTTTCTGGGTGTCCTTTTCAGTAGGTTTCTCAAAAAAAGCAGGTGAAAGAATGAAATGTATTGAAGTAAAATATGCAGCATACACAATGAACAAGACATTAAATGGAGAAAAGCATATGCCTGTTTCATAGTTCTGTAAATGTTAATGATTTGATCTCCAGAGCCATTATTTGACTGTGAATAAGTTACTAAATCTTTTAAACTAGTCTCAGGAGAATGAGAACAACTTCTTGTACTGTTTGTACATTGTGGGTATACTGAAGCTGCTAAAGCATGGCAGCTTCTGGGTGCTATGAAACTTCAGTCTGTTCCAATGTCTTTTTTTTTCTTCTGTTCAGGAACAGAAAGGTGGTGGACTATTCACAGTTTCAGGAATCAGATGATGCAGGTAACTATAGTTCTTAAACAAAAATAGAACTGGAATTGGAGGCCAACAAACATTTAAAAGGATGCTTCCGAATTTTGTATGTTTTAAACCGCATATGTAGTAAGAAGTGATGCTGCTGGTTTACTATTGAATGGAACCTTTGGAATTGTTGATTTCCCCAGCTTGTTTTAACTTTTAACTTTCTTTGCTGTTGATAACTGTTTTCCTTCTCATCCGGCCCCAACTGTATTTTATTAAGGTTTTTGGACACATTACAATTTTTTCTGTTTTTTCTTGGAAAGCAGGCATGTTGATCCTGTCTGCTGAATGAATTTGTTATGGTGATAATTAGTAAAAACAAAATATGGTGTATTCCTGTGTTCTGTTGGAAATTAGATTTTTTGCCTTCTTGGTTATAAAATGTTAATGTTTAAATTGTTCAAGATTTGTATCAAAATAGAAACAGCAAGAATTTATTAGAGCATTTAAAACCAAACTGCTGTTTGTATGAGTTCAAACTATCACAGTTTGGCCTTTTAAATTAGTGATCTATCTGTTTTATATAAGCAATAAAAAGAATCAGCAAAATCTTTGATTAAAGAAACCTGTGGTGATGGAGTGCTATAGAATAAGGTATATTTCCAAAAAGTGTATGTTGCAGTTTATAGCCACCTTAAAAGTATATCAAACAGAATTGTATTTGGATTTACACTAGTAGAATTATGGCAGCAAATTGCCACTAATTATTGAGTTACCATTCATATTCCTACTTGCATGGGAAGTTGCATAGCAGGCGACTAGGAATGCATGTAGTGGCTTGTTAATTACCAGCAATTTGCCACCATAAATCACTTAAATCAGTATTAAAATGCAGAAGGATTCTGTCTTGGCCAACCAGATCTTTATAGAAAGCCTATAAGGAGGACATAAGTATAATGGCATTTTCTTTTCTCCCCCTCACCATTAATAGTGCTCTTGTTACATTTATATGTACATTCCGCTTTTCTATTAGCAGTGGTCAAGATGGCTTCCAGTCTTCATAAGACAATAAAAATCCTGTAAAACAAATTTAACTGTAGAATCATTGGCTGAAATCATGTTTCAATAATTGCCACTGATTAAAGATTTCCTTTACAATTTCAGTGTGTACATGTCTTTATTGCATTGTGTCATTTGGAGACCAAGACCATCCACACTCTTGTATTTCTGATCACCATATATGAGTGTGAAAGCTGGAGAGTTAAGAAAGCTGACAGGAAAAATATTGATTTCTTTGAAATCTGGTGGTAGAAGAATGCTTTGGCAGATACCCTGAATTGCCAGAAAGACAAACAAGTGGATCCTAGATCAAATCAAGTCTGAACTCTCTCTGGATGCAAAAATGTTGAGACACAGATTGTCCTACTTGAGGCACATGATAAGACAGGATTACTTGGAAAAGACAGTAATGCTGGGAAAGGTGGAAAGCAGCAGGAAAAGAGGAAGACCAAATATCAGATAGACAGGCTCCCTAAAGCAGCGGTACCCAATCTTTTTGGGACCTCAGACCAGTTGGGGGGTGTAGGCTCTGTGTGCGGGGGGAGGCACCCACATGCTCATGGGGCGTGTCATGCTTGTGGGAGGGTGTCACACTCGCGGATGGGTGTGTCGTGCTTGCAGAAGGGCATACCCCTGCAAGCGCAACACACCCACCTGCGAGTGTGACACTCCCCTCCGCAAGGCCACGCCCCCTGCATGCGGGGGGGTGTCCCAGAGATCTGTGTCTGCCACCCAGTTCAAGGAAGGCCACAGTCTGGGCCGCAGACTGGGGGTTGGGGACCCCTGCCCTAAAGAGATCACAGGGTTCAGTTTGCAGGTGCTGGGTAGAGCTGTTGAGAAGAGGATATTTTGGAGATAGTTCATTCATAGGGTCTCCACAGAATGGAGGCAACTTAACGAAACATAGCAACACCATACAGGTTATATGCACCCTGAAATTGCCAGAGGGAATCTTTAATGACCAGTGATTTACCACCGAAGATGGTATTATTCTCATTGTATATGGGGAGATCTGCACAATAGAATTTCAGTCATAAAAATCAAATAAAACTGACCACACCATAAAACCATTACTATTAATCAGCTATACAAAAGTTTAAAACTTCACAGCATATTAGACATTATATATCCACTTCTATCCTTAAAAGCAGAGAGTGGAAACCGGTTTTACTTCTAGTGGGAGTGTATTCATCAGTATGAGAACCATTCTCATCATTCATATGTTCTTCAACTGGTCAAACCCCCACCCCAACCCCAAATTTATAATCCAGGTCATGGCAGTACCCTCTGAGCAACTTGCAGAAGTTAAAGCTATGTACTATAATAAAATGCAGAAGTCGCAAACTACATTATAAAATGCAATCTGTTCAGAAATGGTACCATAGTATGGCAACAAACCATGTATCTATCTAGAAAAGCACATTGAGTTTACATTTCAGCACTTACGCTGTTGTGTTGAATGTTCATGTAGTTTTAGCAGATTGCTGTACATAAATGCTAAGTTCTCAAAGTTGTGCCACATAAATTATATCAACTGGCAAACGTGATCTCCCTTTGCACCCCTCCCCCATTTATTATGTAGATGAAGAATATGGCAGAGATTCAGCCCCACCAGCCAAGAAAATCCGTTCATCACCAAGGGAAGCAAAAAGCAAGAGGCGGTCTGGAAAGAATTCTCAGGAGGATAGGTGCGCTTATGTTGAATTTGTTATATAGGTCACTTTGTGCTTAGAGCCCATATGCTTTCCAAGCTTAATTTGGGTCACTAGAATATGAGTTTTACATAAATAGTTGGTGACAAAAGATAAGGTGGCAGAAATCCAGTAGTAAGTTGCAACTACAGCAGGCCTGCTGAATCAGTGGAGATTTGATGAGTCAATATGTGTATAAGTTCACCTGAGTCAGTGGGCCTACTCTAGTTGCAATTTGCTACTGAATTTCAGCCAGTTTATTTTGGAAATGTATTTATTGATTTTTATTTCTCAAAAATTTGTTCAAGATTTTTCCATAAATGATGTGCTTGACTTATCTCCAGAATTGGTTTGTGGATTTGTAGGACCTGGGAGGGTGGCATAGGTTTGTCCCTGAAGTCTTTCTGGGCCTAAGATCAGGAACAAGGGGAGAGACTTGGTCTTGCTGAGTACAAATTTTGGCTTTGCTGCCAAGGCCAGCTAAAGATTGTGGGCACTCAATATTGCCTAATCAGCATAACATCTGTGTTGCTGTCCACTGAATGAAATTGGTGAATAATACAAATATAAGTTTTATATCAGTTTTGTCTTTTCTCTTGTTCTGTGGAACTCAGCCAATGGAACTCATTGAACAGCCTTGCAAATATGTTACTGGCTGGCGAGCCTGCCTCTTTACAGCTTGCATTAATCATTTGTATTAAAAGCAGACAAGAGAAAACCTTTTCTTTCTAAAGTATGCAATCCCTTATTTAAGAGGCAGGTTTCACTCTTTGTAGGTTTTTGGGATTAGCTTGTTTTGTAGATCTTCAATGAACATACAGTATATTCATTGAAACATACGCCAAAATCCTTTTACATAATTATGCCCCAAGAAAGCAAACATTGTAATTCTCAGTTGCTTTTTGATGTTACTTCATGAGTCCCAACTTGGATTTTGGGTGTGTGCCAGTTTGATGCCTTATTGTGCATCTGAAATTATGAGCAGGGATGTGTTAATTGCCTGCAAGAAGCTGCCGTTACATGTCTTCCACAGATGCACCAGGATTTTGGCTATAGTACGGTTAAACTTTTAAAATCATATTAGAGATGAGACATATAAACTTCACTTGGTACAGAGTAAAATTTTGAAAAGATGTTACCTGAGATCAGGTATTAAGTTTTATGGTCAAGTGTGTTTCCGTTTCCACTGGTTCCCATAGTGGTTCTGGATCAAATTAAAAATACTAGTTTTGAAAAACAATCCGTACACAATTTAGGATCTTGGTATATGAAATATAAGCTGCTTCTTCCCTTATCCTGTTAAGCAAAGAATCCAGGCATAAAATATTTTGCCACTCTTATTTAGATGTGAAGCAAGGAAAGTGTATCAGAGTTATGGCATCAAATAGCTAAATGAGATGGTGTGCCTGGCTGTGGAGCCAGGAGCACGGAGTTTGAGTCCCCACTGTGCTCCCTGGCAGAGAGATCAGCTGAGATCACGCAGCGTATATATAGCTGATGAGGTACATACTTCAGTACCTGTGCACAAGATGTACAGTCCCAGAATGAGGCACTGATGAACAAATTCTGGGCTCTTTAGATTTAGAAAATCCTGGGAGAGTCACCATGGGTCAAAATCAATTTGTCAGCACAAAAGGATTGATTATCAAAATTTAGACAAAGGGAGAAACAACATACATATACAGTATATATAGCTGATGAGGTACATACTTCAGTACCTGTGCACAAGATGTACAGTCCCAGAATGAGGCACTGATGAACAAATTCTGGGCTCTTTAGATTTAGAAAATCCTGGGAGAGTCACCATGGGTCAAAATCAATTTGTCAGCACAAAAGGATTGATTATCAAAATTTAGACAAAGGGAGAAACAACATACATATACACACGCGCGCGCGCGGTTAGATTTAGAAAATCCTGGGAGAGTCACCATGGGTCAAAATCAATTTGTCAGCACAAAAGGATTGATTATCAAAATTTAGACAAAGGGAGAAACAACATACATATACACACGCGTGCGTGTGTGTGTGTGTGTGTGTGTGTGTGTGGTAAAGAAGAGGAGGGGAAGCCCGTCTAGTGAGGCTGCATTCCCTAAGGGTTAAATTTTCAACACCTGCAAGCTGACAGTACATGAATGATGAGAGTATCAATAGAGTGTTTTTTCTGTGTTGCAGCATGAGACATATTAGAGTTTGTCAGCTACTAAGTGTGATGATGTAACATCTGGAAGCTGGTGATGCCTGATCTTTATAACCATAATGTAAAAGTACTTTAGAAGTTGCTTTCTTCTTTCCGGAGGATCTAATAAAATTCTACAGAATTCAAAACAGATTTATGTACAGTATGTGTTCTTGTTCAGATGTTGCAATCTAGCTGCTTTATTCCTTCTTGGCCCCTCCCCCACATCAGAGAAAGAAGTATTTAAATTGTCTTTGTGATGATATCTAGGTGTTAAACTTTGACTTTATTTTTGCAGCGAGGACTCAGAAAAGGACATGAAGACAAAGCGAGATGACTCACATTCAGCAGGTAGTGTATTTATGTCTTTCTTATGGCACAGCACAGGCAAGAGTCTGTCTGTTTTCAGGCACTATCATTACTACTGTAATTTCCTTTTGGCATGTGTTCATTTATTGGGCCAGAATCCTGTTGCCTTATGTGATCACTTAAAAGTAGTTGCACTACTTTGCTGCCTGCACATTGCATTGAACAAAGTTCAATGCGTTTCTATGGCTTTTTTTGTCCCGTTTAGCGATGTTTTCGCATAGCGAAGGTTAATCCGGAACGGATTAACCTCGCTATGCGAGGCACCACTGTAGTTGCACTACTTTGCTGCCTGCACATGCAGTTGCATGTTCCTGTTGCACACTTGCTCATCCTGTGGTTGCGCAGTTGACGCCATATGACCACAAATCAGCAGTTTCCTAAAATACTTGAGGGATCGCCCTTATGCATGCAATATTTTGTAACAGGATTTGAGCCTTGGTCTTTATCGTTAAAATCTAGAACAGTTAACACCCTTCTCATTTTGCTTTCCTGTGATAGACAAATATCTAAGAGTCATTCCCTTCCCATTATTTTCTCTCAGATGAAGATTTTGGCAGTGAAGATGACTTAGGAGCAGATGATGGGAAAGCTGATAGTGACTATGAAAGTTCTCAAAAGAACAAAAAAGGAAAAAAAGCCAAACCTGACAAGAACAAAAGAGTATCTTCCAAATCCAGGAAAAGAGCTGCAGGTAACAACTATGTTAATTAAGTTGCTTACTTTGTTAAACTCCAGAGTTCTTCCTGATCCCTGTGAATCACACAAATATAGGTTTGCACCTGTGTTGAGGCTTGTTCTGAAGCATTGAAAAGGAAGGAGGGTGGGTTGTGTGAGTTCACAGATCACCTCTCAGAGAACTGTGGTTACAATCGCAATCCATCATTCTTTGTAACTCACACAAATGGGGAGTCTGATAACATCACTTACCAGAAGTGGGGGTATTATTCCAAAACTGTAGAAAAAACTCCTGTCCGAAAAGTTGGATGTGATCAAGCTAGGCCGTCTATCTGTTATTGGTGGATGAATGTCCAAGGCTGGGACCATGAGGCTGCTCCACAGATATCTTGTGGAGGAACACCCTGCAGAGCAGCAGCAGATGCAGAACTGAATCTTCTAGAATGATTCCTCATCCCTTCTAAGAAAGGGACCCCTGCCATTTGATAGGCTATGATGGTGCAGTCTACAGTGTGAGAGGAGACTGAGCATTCCTTCTTCAGGGTGGCATAACATCAAGACAAGAACAAGGATAAACTCACTTGGACAATTTCATGTATTGTTTGTTTAGGATGTCCAAGAGGATTCATATTTGTTATAAAAGAGAGTATATGTGTTTCTGTCTGCATCATTGCTCCAAGACTCTGAAAACTAGGTGCCTCAAATGTGGCATTGCTATTTAGGGGATCCTGGGTGTCTCCACCTCTGCCTACTTTGTTTTACAAATGGAAGAATTAATTTTATTTAATTGAAATTTAGCCAGCAGTACCATCTTCAGCCAGACCTTCCTTAACCAGGAGAAACAGAGCTAGAGGGAAACCTGAGAAGATTAATTTTTCCACAGGGCCTCTAGGCAGCTCCAGTAGTGCTTTTCTCTGTAGAGTCCCAGGCTTTTCAGATACTTAAGAGAGAAAGAAAAATATTAAGAGGAAGGTAGATAGGCATCTGCTGCCTGGTACAGAAGGAAAGTAAGTGGAAGAGTAAGAGAGAGGCTGAACTAGCACTATTGTATAGGGAGGGAAAGATTAGTGAAACAAAAGGGTGAGAGGAACTAGAGCACAGCAGAGGAACTGGAGAGACCAGGGGTTTTCTATACCAAGTGGTACTTCTCCTTGTAGGAAAACAGGGACCAGAGTGTATTCTGCTTTTGATTTCATTACAAGGTGAAAAACAGTACATAATTTGTGATACCGTGTTGCCCTGAAAATAAGAGAGGGTCTTATATTAATTTTTGCTCCAAAATACATTAGATCTTATTTTCATGGGTTGTTTAATTTTTTTTCAGTTTTTTTGAATTTTTTTAACATAAGGGACGACAAAGGAGTGGGTTGTTTAATTTTTTTTCAGTTTTTTTTTAATTTTTTTAACATAAGGGGCGACAAAGGAAAAAGGGAATTAGGATTTGTGAGGAAGAGGGAAGACAATGACATACTAATATCCAGTCTATTACCTATTGCCATATCAAATTTTGAATCATTCTGGGTTGTTTAATTTTTTTCACGTACAACAATCTACATTTATTTGGATAGTCATGTCATTTTCTTCTGGTTGCTGCACAATGCTGGAGGACGGGGTTTCACTTAACTAGGGCTTAATTTTTGGGGTAAGGCTTATACTACAAGCATCCTGAAAAATCATACTAGGGCTTATTTTCAGGTTAGGTCTTATTTTTGGGGAAACAGTAGATGTTTCATCAACAATACTGATTGGCATTTTACACTGGATGTTTCCAAAATGATTGAAGATTAAAAATAAAATAAAATTTGCCTCAATTATGCAATAATTAGATTTTATTTGTTAATTAAAATATTTATAATCCACTTTATATCTGCTGACCTCAGGATTGTTTTGATAGATACTACAGTTAAAATTTAACGTAGTCTATAACAATCTAGACAGCCTTCATTTGTGTCTAGCCCCTTTGTTGTTCCATGTACTGTATACTCTTGGAAATGAATGCTGTCCTGTAGAGCTTCAGTGTCTTTTGGTGACTTTGTAACAGAAGACAGTGAGGATGAGAAAGAAGACCATAAAAATGTGCGTCAGCAGCGACAAGCAGCATCAAAAGCTGCTTCCAAGCAACGGGAAATGCTGATGGATGATGTGGGCAGTGAGGAGGAAGATCAGGAAGAGGAGGAGACATCATTTCAAGAAAGTAAGTGTGGTTGAGTGGCATACACACCATGGAAAATAGGAATAGACTCGACAAAGTACAGGCATGTTTGATATGTGGTATCCAGTTTAAGATGCCCAAGCAAGCAAAAGAGATTCAGGAACACTGAATAGACGTCACATCACTGATGTACCTCATGTCCAGCTTGGTTGTTGGCAACAAAAGGGGAGAAGGAAAACACACTGTCTCTCAAAGTTGAGGGGACAAAATCTTTTAGGATATATGGGGAGCTTTTAGGCAATCTTGCTTCCAGTAAATTAGAACTTGCCATATTCGTCACTGTTTTATCTTCAGCACTGGGCAACAAACTGAACAAACCATTTGATTATAAATACCATCCTATCTGGCTTCATTATGCAGTAAAGGATTTCCGATTCCCCTGTGTTCATGGTTAAATTTGACTGCAAGATTAAAAACAAAAAGTGTTAAAATATCTGCACATAAAGCTATGTTTTCTAACTTGTCTGTTGTATTAACAGACGCTTGCTCACAGTGTTGAAAGTTGGGGAGCCATGCGAAATTTGCAGTGAATGTGTACAAATAAACAAAATCAGTGAACTGAGGAACTAGAATGATGGAAACCTCGATTCAAAACCAGGAAGCAGTAAAGTACTGCTGTCAGATATATAATAAGTTACTGGTATTGCCTTCAGAGGGCACTTCTTCAGCTTACTACAAGATGGAAGAACATAATGAACAAGAGAACAGTCATGACAGGCTGGGAAGGGCGTTGATATAGAACCTACAGCAACTGGTATAGGAAATGGTCAGGCTGAGCCAGCATGTAATTGCTCTTGAGGGAAGGAGAAATTTGCCTGTACAACCACTCTTTTAAATAGCTCTGCTACTTGTCACCAATCATAAAGCAGATTTACATGAGGAAGTACTGAGGCACAGAAGCCATTTCTCCAAGTTCTAGCACGTATGTTACAGAATGTAGAAGCCAAGAACTGACTCCTATCCCCTGATCAACCTACCAGACTCTCTCCTCATTCTGTCTCTCTTCCAAGTCAACAAGGACAGCTCTTAGAGACATTTCATTCCTCTCTCTCTGCACAGAAGATTCTGGCAGCGATGAAGATTTCCTTGTGGAAGATGATGATGATAGTGATTATGGCAGTTCAAAAAAGAAGAACAAAAAAGTGACTAAGAAATCCAAACCAGAAAGGAAAGAAAAGAAAATGCCTAAACCAAGGCTAAAGGCTACAGGTGAGCTCAGCTTGCTTCAAAAGTTCTTACTTTGCACCTGTTAGGAATAACATAATGGAGTTTTGCTTGCAAGTACTTATGTTTTCTCAGCACTTCAGCTCTTGTGCCTAAAAGGATATCAATCAAAAATTTCCAACTAGCTTTAAATTCATATTAATATAGATGATAGCCTGTATAATGTGGTAGAGCCAGGCTTCTGAAAAGTTCAGGATGGGATTCTGTGACTTCTCTTGGTTGCCAGTATTATGTTCAGAACACTTGCCAGTGCTGATTAAAACAGGTGATGTTTGTGTCTGCCATCCCCAAGGAAGAATTCCTTTCATTCCATTAGAAATGAAAACGAGATGGCGAACATTCACATAAATCCATCTGTACCCAGAGCTACAGACATGAGGATAAAAATACTCATTTAACTAGGTCTTGCATTTAGAAAAGTTGAAAATTCAGCTTGGGTGGAAACTTCTATTGAGTGACTTGGATTAAATTATCTAATCTCTCTGTTGATAACAGTCTTTTTGACATGTTGGTTAAATATAAAATGTTATGTTTCTAGGAGAAAAATAGATTATATATTTATTTCATTTCTATGCTACATTTCTCCTGGTGATATGGCACTTCTTTCTAGTCTTTAGTTTTATATTTGTGGAAAACTTATGAATAAATGTGTCCACTAGCAATGTTTCAAGCCTGGAATGAGATGTTACTCTCGAAAAGTTGTGCATTATTTAGGAGTATGTAGACCTGTCAAACTGCCACATCTTCTGTTTATTCTTCAAAAATACTGTGTTTCTCTCATATTGTATCAGATGTTTACTATCAAAATAGTTTTTATCAACATAATCTCTTTCATTCATAAAAAATTAGAAGGCAAGCATTTCTAACAGTCACAGTGACACCTTGAATATAAAGTGGGCAGAGGGCCTCAAATATAGGGTAGCACACTTCATTTCCAAAAAAAAAAGGTCAGGTTTAATGACTATCCTTTGTTATCTTTACAAATATTAATGAAGTCTCATTTCTTTATTACTTAGAGTTAAGAAAGAGAAGAAACTACAGTGGTGCCTCGCACAACGATTGCTT